TTTCAATTCTTAAAGTTGCAGGGGTTGAAAAAGTTGTTTTGCTATAATTAAGGGAGATGATATACTTCATTTCAATTCTAAAAGCTTAGATTGAAATTTTTAATCACCTTTAGTCAAGAATATATATATATATATATATATATATATATATATATATATATATATATATATGAATTTCATGTTGGATTGGTTCAACTTAAGGAAATTCTATATATTGCGTTCTCAAAATTCGATTATGATTACAACATCCCTCTTCATAGTCAAATTTTGAAAACATGGGAAATAAAAATTTTGTAGCAAAAGATTAGGTTAGAATCATGTCTTTATGTGAGACATCATGAATCGTGTCCCATTTGCTTTAGGTACAGGATCGATTGCATGTGCTATACTCTTTGTCCTTTCTAAATTTTCCAAATGCCCAGAGGCATTAAGAAGGGAAAAGGTCTAGAATTGGATATGACTAAAAATATTAAGCAATTGTCGAGGACAATCTAAGGTTTACCAAAGATTGGTTGCTCAGGGACAGTTGGAAGTATAGTGCTAAGTTTGGAAGGACCATATTGACATATTCTGAAAAGAGGCAACTCTTGTTCAGGAGTGATAGTCAAAATGGGAATATGGAGTTGTCTCCATAGATGGAAGCAATCTGTGTAAGATTAGAAAAACTTAATGCAAGAAGCATGTTCAAAGAATTGTACCTTGAATATGAGACTTTGTTTCCATGGAGTAGATCTTCATTGGAATACCCTGTAATGATTGTTGACAAGTCTTTGTGACTTTGTACACATTCATTACAAGAGGGTAGTGCATTTAAGTTTAAAATCTAACATATTTCGATAAATGATAAGAATTTGGAATTCTTACACTTACGATAAAGATTTGGGTGTGTGAAATTAGAATCATTGAAAGTATGTTCAATTGGTTTATTTCACAAAGTAATGATCATAGACAAACATAGAGTGCATACTTGGTGTATGGCAAAGCTATTGTTTAGAAAACATAGTGTACATGCTTGGAGCATGGGACAACTATTGTTTTAATTCAAGTATAAAGTTGATAGTTTGAAACAGTATACAATGAATAATGTGTAATCAATATGGTGATAAATAAAATATGTTTTATTTATATTCATAAGTTCTGAGACCATATTGGATTCAATTATTCTTGTGTTTCATTTTGTATGTTTTGACTTCCAGAATAAACTAGGTCACTCTTCCCGAATGACTAAGTTATTCAAACCATCCACAGTCGATAATATGTTGGAAGTAGGTATTAAGGCAAGACTGTCATGAATCGGGTTTGTAGATGTCCAAGGTAGTGGACATAGCCAAGAGGTGCTACAACATTCATGAGTGCTCATAAGTTCTGAGTATTGGATTCAACCCGCGCTCATTTGAATCACTTCATGGATTCTATCATGAGTATTGTAACATCCATAAAATTCGAGCCAATTTAAAACTTTTTAAAACATTTCAAAACACATGATTATTACAAACTTGTTTTCAAAATAGTATCTTGTCAGAGTATCACAGAATCAAATCATAAAATCATAAAAATGTGAGGAGCGGTACGATCACGCCTTTGCCTTCCCGCGATCATCAGAAGTACCTGAAACAATAATCGATAAATGTAAGCTCGAAGGCTTAGTGAGTTACCCCCAAAATACCAACACCATACAGTCATAATCGTATCATATAACATAATAGCAAACAACATGCATAATGAGCCATCAGTCTGACTGGACCGAATCCCGGTCCACAGTCTATCTGGACCGCTCTCCGAGCCCTCGGCACGTCTGGACCGCCCTCCTCGGGGCCTTCAGCCTATCCGGACCGCTCGCTGGGCCTTCGGCCTGACTATATTTGCCCGGCCCGGGCCTGCAATCTACCCGGTCCGCCCAGGGTGTCTTGGCCTACTGCACACAGCAGGACCTACCTCAACCCTTTCCCCAAACAAACAAACAAGTGCACACATATATATATAAACAAGTAAACATGCAGATCTAACAGATCACTAATCATGGCAACCATCCTATAACCAGGATACCGATCTAACCGATCTCTAGCATAGCAATCATCATAAACCAGGATGAAACCTAACATAGCAACCATCCTAAACCAGGATGAATTCTAGCATAGCAATAATCATAGCAACCATCCTAACCCAGGATGTAATCTAACATAGCAATAACATAACGACCATCCTAACCCAGGATGGAAATCATAAAGGGCCGACCTTGGTGCCGTAGACTCTGTTGCTATAGTGAGGATAACTCACCTCGCAAGTAGCTCGGAAGGTAGTGTCAAGCTCTTCCAAAAGTAGCTCCAACTCCAACACCTATATTCACCAATGTCCTTTGCTATCAATATTCAATTTACCAAAATATCCTCAGAAGTCAACTAGTCAACCCTTGGTCAAGGTCAAAGTCAACTATCAAGGTCAACAGTCCATGTTAACCTCAACTCGTCGAGTACCCTCAGCTACTCGCTGAGTTCTTGACATAACTCGCCAACTCGCCGAGTCACTTGAGTGACTCGTCGAGTTTCTAGTGTCAGTGGCCGTAAACCCCTTGGCCAACTTGTCGAGTTTTCCCCTTACAACTCGCCGCGTTCATACGTGTCCAAAGGTTGGGAAAACCCTAGCTGAGTCGCCGAGTCATTCGACTGACCCGCCGAGTCCAAGACAATCTTCATCGGACTCTCCTAGTTGTTCATCTAACTCTTCGAGTACAAGACCATCTTCATGTGGCTCGTCGAGTTGACTATGCGACTCGTCGAGTCTCTTCAGACCTTCATCCATACAGGTACTTTTTAAGCCATGCAGCGGCTCCATATTGCAGATCCAAGCTTCTAAGGCATGTTTATCACGTAAAGTTGCAAACGTTACGTGCATGCAAGGCCCTAGAGACTCTAAATTACCAATCTAAGCTTCTAATGGAGCTTTACACCTTAGGAGACTCTCATTCTTACAAGAGTTGGAAGCTTTATGCACTTAAAGGCCCAAGAGAGTTCAGATCTGAAGTTACAACTTCAGATCTTGGCTTATACACAAGAAAAGCTTCCAAACATACTAGAAAAGCCCTAAAATTTACCCAAAAGGGATCTAGAAATGAAATGAAGTCAAGATAGCGATTTGATACCTTCCAGAAGATGCCAACTAAGATAGATTTCAGATCCCACACGTTCCTTGCTTCTGGATACTTGCTCTCCAAGCTCTTTTCTCCAAAAAATCCTCTTCCAAAGCTTAAGAATACACAAATGGGTGCACACTCACACGAATTAGGGTTTCTGGATTATGAAGAGGCTGTAAGGGGAGGCTAAGGAGGCCAATGATCCTTTAATTAGGGTGCAATACCCCGGAATTTAGGGTTTCATCTGCCAGCTCCTACTCGTCGAGTCCCTTCTTGGACTCGGCGAGTAGGTCACTAAAACACGCGGACCAACCCGCTGCTACTCGACGAGTGGGGCAGCCAACTCATCGAGTAGACCTTGAAACCAAGAAATTCTTACATGAACCAATACCTGAGAATCGGGGCGTTACAATGGTCTTTTTACCCATATATGGATTGTTGGTTTTGGGTTTGGAACCCAAATGTTAATCGATTGTTTTCATGTTTTATAGTGCGGGGATTCTAGCGGATCTGCAGTCAGAGATATATTCGTGAGTTCAGCTGTCGAGGTGAGTTTCCTCACTGTACTATGGGTCAAAGGCACCAATGCCGGCCTAATTGGTTTATGTATTATAGGAAGACCAGGGGGTGGCCCTTGACAAATTTGTATGAAAGACCAGGAGGTGGCTCCTGACACATCTGTATGAAAGACCAGAGTTTGGACTCTGGCAGTTAAGTAGATGAGTAGTTGTAGATTGTATGCTAGTTGTCTTTGTGATGCTTGCATGGAAGACCAGGAGGTGGCTCCTGACACTTGTCTGTAAGACCGATGGTTTTGGCCCCCGACCTGGCAAGGAAAGTCCATGATACGGCTCGTGGCATAATGACAAGACTATGGTTGGCACATAGCACCTCCTATCACATGTTTGATATGTATGATATGCATGACTCGTATGTTTTGTATAGTATATGGTAGTTTGGGGAACTCAATAAGCTTCGTGCTTACAATTGTTGTTTATGGTTTCAGGTACTTACGGTTCGAAAGGGAAGGGTGCGGCTTGATCGCAGCGCATACACCCGTGTTTTCCGCAATTCGTGATTTTGGGATTGTACTCTGATAATTGTTTTAATCTGAAATACTTTTAAATGTTTGAATAAAGGGGATACCCCTGTAAGATCCACACATGCATGTTTCAGATTAAAACAATTATCAGAGTACAATCCCAAAATCACGAATTGCGGAAAACACGGGTGTATGCGCTGCGATCAAGCCGCACCCTTCCCTTTCGAACCGTAAGTACCTGAAACCATAAACAACAATTCGAAGTGAACGTTGCTTCTTTGTTTTCCTTGTGAATTGCGATTTATGAAATTCAAAAACAGGGATGCAGTAGCTCCCAAATCGTTTTTTTTTTTGTGAATTACGATTTATTTGAAATCTTTTTTAGGGAGTTTGTGAATATTGATTTTTTAACAACGATGATACAGAAAGATAGGAGATATTTTTTTTTCTTTAAAATGATAAGCAAGCAACGATTATTTGAAATCGTTTTTTTAAAGAATTTATGAATTCGGATTTCTTCACAACGATGATCAAGGAATGTTACGATTTTTTTTTTCTTTTTTTTTTCTTTTCAGAACAACAGCAACGATCAAGGAAATTTAGTTTTTTGCGGAATTTCTTTTTTCTGAAAAATGAACCATTAACAAAAACTACATAGTATATATATATATATATATATATATATATATATATATATATATATATATATATATATATATATATATATATATACACATCAGTTTCCTTGCCTTTAAAGCTCTCTCTCTCTCTCTCTCTCTCTCTCTCTCTCTCTCTCTCTCTCTCTCTCTCTCTCTCTCTCTCTCTCTCTCTCTCTCTCTCTCTCAGGTTTCTTGAATGTCCAGAGAAAGGTACATCAATATCCCTCTCTAAAATGATCAACTTATTCAAGCAGATTAACACCTTTTAATATACTAGTTACTTTTAAAAACACAGAGATCAATGAAAAGTTACATGCTTGATCACCAGATTAATTTGACCTTTTCCAGAAATCAATCATAAAAAGCTTCCATCTTTCTTGTTGTTTATGGTTTCCTAATTCTGGTTTCTATGGTAGTGGTGTTAGGGAATTCTATGATGATGCTGGTAAGAGGATAAAGAGAGAGATCGATGCGTATCTAAACACCACGACGATGGGGCATATGGGGAGGAGACAGATATTGATTCCGGCACCAGGGACTTTGAACACGATCACACCATGTGCTGCGTGTAAGCTCTTGCGGAGAAGATGTGCAGAAGAGTGTCCATTTTCACCTTATTTCTCACCTCATGAACCTCATAAGTTTGCTGCTGTTCACAAAATCTTTGGTGCCAGCAACGTCTCTAAGTTGCTCATGGTATGCTCTTTCCATCTGTTTAAGTGGTTAAAACTTAATGATACTAACCTGAGAGTCTCGAGTTTGAATCTAATTAGGTGTTGTTTTTAGATCTTTTTAAGTTTGTTGATCATTTAGCCGACTTTTTTCTTCCGAATATTTTTCTTTCAAAGAAATTAGAAACTAAACAAATAACGCACGACATTGAGTTTGAACATAAAAGTACCAGATTTACAGATTTAGTTAGATGCTAATTGTACCAAAAATTGCAAAATTTTCTTCCCTATCATTTTCATGAAAAACAGCTAAAAACAAAGAAAATACGCACACGGTGTGAATGAGTCTTAAATAGACAACTATTTGTTTCAAACACTCAGATTCGATAATAATTACGCCGAAAGATGCGAGTTTTACTTCCTTTTTTTTCTTTAAAAATCGACCAGAAATGTAAAAACAAAAAAACATACACATGAATGTTAACGGTGAGTTTTAATTAATCATATAAGCATTAGATTAAAGACTCGATCGGTTGGATACTTCGGATACTGAATTGCTAGTTTTTTTTTCCATTTTTGGTCCGATTAGATATTTAACGACGAGAACACAAAGAGTGAGATTAACGACCTTTAAACTGTACGATGAATAAGCTTCAAAATTTTAAAGGAGCCGATTAGATGATCCATTTTTCGATTTCATTTAGGGTTTATATACACATCTCTTATTTTCATTTGATTTTGTTAATTAGGAGGTGCCTGAAAGTCAAAGAGCAGATGCGGCAAACAGTTTGGTATATGAAGCAAATGTTAGGCTAAGAGATCCAATCTATGGCTGCATGGGTGCAATTTCTGCATTACAACAACAAATTCAATCTCTGCAAGCTGATCTCAATGCAGTTAGGGCTGAAATTTTGAGATACAAGTACAGAGAAGCTGCTGCAAATACTCATGACATCAACATTATTGCTTCTACTTTGGTTTCCGCCGGTCCCATCTCGGTGGCTCAGCTGTCATCCATCCCAGCGCCGCCTACACCACCACCACCACAACCGTCCATTGTCATCTCATCTTCTTCTTCGTCATCATCTTCATCTTCTTCTTCATCGTCAGTTCATCTTTATGGGATCCCTTCTAGCACTTCTGGTTATAGTACTAGCACCATTCCTAATAATAATGTATCAAGTTACTTTGCTTGACCATATGTAACCCTAGTTTTTTTTTCTTCCCCCTTCTATATGAGTTATAAAAGGATAACTAATTAAATGATTATTTTGTAGTAGGGTATTAATAATCTTGTGTTTTTCTCTCACTTTTTATTAGGAATTTAATCTCAAGAAATTGGATGTTGATGTTTATACATTTAGTAAGTTTCATCTCGTTGGGTATGGAAAAAGTTTGAAGTGCAAATCAGTAGAGAACTTGTTTCTTGTTATGATTTTGAATCAAATGTTACAACGATACACAATAAATATCTACTGAGTATTGACTATCAGGGTTGCTTGATTGCGAAATACAAAGTGTGATCGACATGCAGTGATCTTTATGTATAATTGCATATCAAACTTTTGGTGTTTTTAGTCTTTTTGAAATCTTAATTATTAATCTCAAACCTAGCTATTTGCATATACATTCGTTACAGGTAATTATAATTTATATGCATGCATGTAGCAACTTTGATAACCGTCACGAAATATATCGATCCCACAAAAAAGAAAAGGTCTTTCTTCAATAACATTTTTGGTGTCACATTAACAAATCAAAACCTTAACATATCTACCTTATATTCTACATACAAATTTCAATTAGGTAATTAATTTTAATTATCTATACAACCAAAATAATTGAAATTGAATAAACATAACCAACTGTTATAACTATATATGTATATGCATCATATGTATATGTATATGTATGTATGATTGTATGTATGTATGTCAGAACCAAATTAATTAAGAGGACGTGAGATGCAATTAAAGCCCTTGCACACGTTGGGGAGACAAATCGTATTCTGCCCCCTTCGCCTTCAATTTCCTTCACACACACATTTATGGTTTAACTTTTATATTAGTTTTTGTCTTTTAAGACATTCATAGTTTTTTTATTTACTAAAACAGATCGAAAGAAAAAGCAATCCGTAAGATCTAAATCAAGATTACCATAGAGATTGGTTTACTACCTTATAATCTTCGTGGATATGAATCTGATAATATAATTAATAGAATCAAAACAACTGAAGCAGATATAAATATTTTACATGATCTGAAATGTCAAATGTTTTTAATCATCGTATTTAGCCTAGCCGTTTGACAACCCAATAAATAAGTTTATTTCTTTTAAATTTCTATAAGTAATTACCACCACATCATCCCGATCATTGTATGGTTGTATCTTATCACCTCTGCTCTATATATTATCGTAATTATTAGTGACTCTGTAATATATATAATCGTTAAATATCTTAATAATAATTATTCAGAAAACGTTATATTCCAAATAATTATAAGTTTACCTAAAATTAATCTAAAAGGAATAGTTCGCCAACCATGTTGCCGGCAAGCGTGTAAATGCAGTTAATTTTTTATTTCTTCAATCTCAAGATTAATTATAAAATAAAATTATTTTTAGTGAAAACTGTAAGAAGAGAGTTCCAACACCTAAGCACGTAGTTGACTTTTTTTCATAATTGAATAATATTTTCATAAATAATTTTTTTTAATAAATTATATTCCTTCAGATCTTAATCATAATAACCATCGTTTCATCTTCGGAGAACATTGTTTCAGTTCAAGAAAGTAATATAATAATGATCATTGTATTTAAAATTGGCCTTTTGTGTATTATTTAGGCCCAAATTTTGATCCAGTTGCTTTGGGCTGATGGAATTAGCAAACTTAAAAAAAAAAAAAAAGGCGCCAAAACAACAAAGACAAGGAGTTCATGTCCATTGATCACGCTCCCAATTTCGCCATTCTTCAATCAATCGACAATCACGCAACGGTAAAAAAAAATATTTAAATAAAAGTAATCGATTGGAGCCTGTATTTCTCCTGATTTCTTATGATAACTATGGTTTATCTCTTGTGATTATTGATTTCTGAATTTCTGCATATTCTTTTTGTATACTACGGTTATTTTGTTTAATTGTTTCAATTTGGTATGGTCTGAACTCTGAAAGTTATTGTTGGGTAATTTAGCGTGTCTTTATTTGGTTTCAAGATTTCCTTTTGTATACCATGGTCATTTTGTTTGATTTTTTCAATTTGGTGTGTGTTAAAGTTAAAGTTTTCAATTAGGGTCTCTTTTATCTGTTTTGCATTTTCAATGTGTAAACGTTGGTCATTTATTTAATTGTTTCAATTTGGTGTCATTTCAAATTTAAGTTTTGTGAGTATATGCTATGGCACACTGTGGTGGATTTGGAAAACACAAAATGATCAACTGTTCAAAAATCTACGAGTATCGCCGAGTAAAGTAGCGGATAATATCTGATCCATGGTGTTTGTACGGCTTAAACACATGAGCACAAGTTACCACGATAAGTGGATTGAGTGGTGTATCAACCCCTTCAGTAAAGTTGTGCATGGGGTGATGTAGTTTGGGTGCTTAGTAGTTCAGGTTGAGTGTTGTCGATTTTTGTTTTTTCTCCTCTTTTGTTGTTTTTTCATAACTTTGTTTTGTTTCTTTACCCCTCTAGTACCTTGCCAGTGGAGTTTTTTTTAATCTATTTGTCGGTTCCAAAAAAATTCAAATTTAAGTTTGGTAAATTAGGGTATGTTTAACTAGTCAGGGCCCACCCCCCCCCCCCCCTCTCTCTCTCGTTGAAGTTTCTTGGTGTGTTGGAAAGTTGATAAGCATCGACACTGTCAGAGCAAGTAATGACAAAAAATGCTTGCAAAGCTTTTGCATTTACTAGCAGATGACAACCCATATTTTCAAAAGAAAATAGCGTTAAATGCTAAATTTTTTCATACTATACAACCATCGATCTTAATTGATCTCTTAAAGAAGGTAAACAAATTATTCGTTGACCAGTTTCTACAAAACTATATCATCAATCAGGAAACTTGTGTATCCTTGTTTTCATTTCCATTTTGAGATCTGAAAAATGTCTGTCTATTATCTCTAAATTTTACTTTATGCAGATTGACCACAATTTGACAACCGAACGACTGTAAGTCAAGTGGAAGCAACTCATATCAAAGCTCTTTTCAGTTGCACGAGGGTAACACGAAGTTCTTAAAATCAAGCATAATGGAAACAAAGCCAGGTGGGTTTAATAAACCTAAATGCTGAAGCTGCAGATGGTGGAGGGTGGCAGTGGTACCCCGGTGGCAAAAACCTATGCTTCCAAGATGGCTGCAATGGTTGCAATGGTTGTTGATAAGATCATGGGAAGCTCCAAAAGTTGTAATGGTGATTCACAGTTTATTTTAGTTATCAACCAAATCTACAGGTGAGCTAGGAAGGAACTGTATCACAAGCATTTTCAACCCATGGGCATGAACAAAGTCCATGGGTGCTGATCATTGTCTATGTATCGGAGGAAGAAGACAATAATGTCTAAACTAGGATAAAAGACACACTTGACTTTTACTTAAACAGAGAAATGTTAAAGTTTGCTTTAAGAGAGAGAGAGAGAGAGAGAGAGAGAGAGAGAGTTTAACGCTAGTTTACCTTCTTTACACTTGTTTAACTTCTTTAAAACATCAATTAAGATCGATGGTTGTGTGGTATGAAAAAATTTAGCGTTTAACACTATTTTCTTTTGAAAATATGGGTTGTCATCTGCTAGTAAATGCAAAATCTTTGCAACCATTTTTGTCATTACTTGTTCTGACAGTGTCGATGCTTATCAACTTTCCAACACACCAAGAAACTTCAACGAGAGAGAGAGAGAGAGAGAGAGAGGTGGACCCAAAGTTTTATTATTATTTTTTAACTAAAAAAATGTCAAATCATTTAGAGATTGAAGCCACATAATCTTTAAGTGTTTACATGGCTTATGTAATCTGGTATATCAGGTCGCAGTGACCAAAAAAGTAGGTCGACATCAACTTTATTTCCTTAACGAGCAAGAAAACAACTTTAGAAACTGAATGCGCAATGTCACAAAACATAATAGGGTCGTTGTGTTATTTTCCCAATTCCTAATTGTTACAAAAATTTTGAATTATGTTTTTTCTTAAGGAACTATCCAAGGAAACGCAAAATATTTATCACCATCATTTATTATTTATTATAGTGTTGTTAGAAGGCAAGAAATGGAAAGATGTTCAACAATATCCCGACTACCCGTCCCTAACTTGCGAAAATTGCGGAAGTGGTTATGTGTACGAATTTCATTTGGTGTAAACATAGAGTAAACTTTGGGGTAGCAAGGTGAACAAATTGGAATGGGCTACTATTCTCATAATTTTCTTTTTTTCATTATGTATTGTACTTTTTCTATCTTCTTAGCTCTCTGTTAATGGGGTAGCTTTTTAGTAATATATTTTGCGTTTCCAAAAACAAAATACGATCATTTTCTTTAATTTTTTCAATTTGGCGTGGGTTGAAAGTTATTGTTAAGTAAATTTGGGATGTTTAATTGTCATTCTGTTAACTTATATTTATTTGTGAGCTTTTGATGTAAGTGGGAATTGAATTTATAAAAATGTCATTATTGTAACATCCTTAAAAGTTATTTGACAAGTTATGATATGTAATTGTTAAGTTATATCGATTAACTAATGTAAAATATGTGAACTTTGATTATTTTGGTAAAAAAATGTATAACCCTATGTTGATGGATATATAAGTAAAAATGTAGAAATTTTTAGCAGATGTAATATAGAAGAAAGTTGTAGTTGATTGTGATACAAATCCGTGGATGTATAGATCACTGAAGTCTGAGTGTGTATGAAGAATTTATGACGATTTAAAATTCGAGGGTAAAGTGCATTGCTTAAAAGTGAAAAAAAATAAAGAAACATGGTCGTGTAAAAGGTTTGAATACACTAAACTTCATTTTAATGAAGTAGATTGTTATTTAAGGCACTTTTTGGAGCATTTTGGTAAAACATGGTCGTGTGTCATGTTACACGACCGCGTAAAAAGGTTGAACTCCAAAAAATATGATATAGCATGTACAATGTTGGTCTTTTGCTCTTTATTTCACATACACGTTTGGAGAACCTTTGGGGGTGATTTTGAGAGCTCAAGATCAAAGGATCAAATCTTTATCCAAGAATTTTAAGGAAATCAATAATCAAAGCCTCTACATCTTGGATTGGAGGTAACTTCT